CTGAAAAGTTTCGGAGGGGTATTTTGGTCATTTTTGTTAAGGCGAATAATTTTTATTTTTATTTTTATTAGGTGCGCCTTGATGAGAAAAATACACACCTAAAATTTCAAGTAGTTGGATTTGTAGAAAAAAAAAAAAATCAAACACTACCGGATATCTGTGATCGTCAGATCGGCCCAGATTCGATCTGGGCCATTGGGCTCATATGTTCATATAAGCTAGTGGGCTAATCCCATCTTTTAGCACATTATCTTGATCATCTATTTTCAAGCTTTTCGTATGTTCATAGATCTTCTTTATTTGAACTCTTTTTTAAGTTTAGAATATCATAACTAGAGATATAATTATATTCTTTGACCATCCTAAGAACTTCCGACACTAAAATTACATCTTATGACAAAGTTTGGAGGTGCGCCTAACTTTGATTATTTAAGAATGCAACATTATGCAAACCACACTCTCATATAAATATTTGAAATTGACTTTTTGAAAAGCAACTTTTACTTGCAAAAATCATATACACTTGAGATTTCTATGCATAGACCCTCAATTTTATTTTATGCGTGTTAATTTTCCTTGTTAGTGTTTTTTATCATAAAAAAAAAGGTTTCTATGAGTTGGCCGACTCACCTATTTAAATGAAATCACTCCAAAATTCTATTTTAGAGATGGATTTTGAATTCAAAATCTCAGGGAGATCTCAACCATGATAAGAAGGAACCTGAAAAAAAAAATATATAAAAAATAAAAAAACTATTTGACATAGTTTTAGCACTGTCAACTTTAAATCTATGGAAAATGTTTATATACTTCCCTTATATCATATAAGTTCTATCCTTCTATCATTTCCCTACTATCTAGCCGTTCAATTTTGATCAAGAGAGCGCTCACCATTTGATCATAGATCCGACGTCTCAAAGTATTTTATTTTTATTTTTTTAATTCAAATTGTATGAGTATGAAATTTGGTACGTGTCATCTTCTCATTGGGACGCACCTATGAAAAAATATTGAAAATAATTTTTCGATAAAATATAATGACCAAAATACCCTTTGAAACTTTCAGAGGTATTTTGGTCATTTTAATTTTTTGAAAATAGTTTTTATATTTTCCACTAGTGCGAGTTTAATAGACGAATGGATGTCCCAAATTTGGTGTCAAAATAGTTTATAGAAAAAAAATTTAAAATAAAATAATGTTGACACGTGACATTGTCATTAGGGCAATCTTAGCCTTTCATGCAAAATGGACGGTTCGATAAGGGGAAGTATATAAGTTTTATACTGTATAGGAAGCATAAAAAGCTTGCCGTTAAATCTATGGGGCTACCATTTTCTAATTTCCATCTCCAAGTTATTGAGTGTTAAGGGGAAGTATATAAGTTTTATGCTGAATAGGAACCATAGAAAGCTTGCCCTTAAATCTATGGGGCTACCATTTTCTAACCTCCATCTCCAAGTTATTAAGTGTTAGGGGACGTAATTGCAGAAGTGAATAGTTGCATAAATACTTGACTCTATCTCGTTTGTCGCATTTCAACACGCATTCAGACCTCCATCTCCAAGTTATTAAGTGTTAAGGGGAAGTATATAAGTTTCATGTTGTATAGGAACCATAGAAAGCTGCCGTTAAATTTATGGGGCTACCATTTTCTAACCTCCATCTCCAAGTTATTAAGTGTTAGGGGACACAATTGCAGAAGTGAGTAGTTGCATAAATACTTGACTCTATCTCGTTTGTTGCATTTCGACACGTATTGACATGTATCAACATGTTATCCATTCGTATCTACAACTTTTCGCATTATGATACGGCATCTTGACACTTATTAATGTGTCTATTGGTGAGAGACACAGTATCGTATCTATGTAAGACCGCGTTTTGTTCATGGGATTTGAACCCACGACCACTCAAGCCAATGCAACAAGCAATGGCCACCAAGCCATCTATTTAAATTACGTTTGAATTTGGAACATTTAGACAAAAAAAAAAAAATTTGGATAATTTAGTGAGGATGACAAGCCCCAACCCGTTTTTAATTAATGGAATCCACAACGTGCAACTGGGGTATAAGATATGCTACCACCACAACCTCAACCCTTTCCCATGAACATTTAGAAAGTTAACAAGTAAAGGCTTGTGTTATATTTATTGGCGCATTTATTTATGGTGAGGTTTACATAAGGTTGCATTTATTTATGGTGAGGTTTACATAAGAAAAAATTGGATTTTTAAGTTTTGGAAATAGTGTATTTTATAATGTATTTTTTTACCATCAATTTTCAGGACTTTCAAGTTTACATAGATCAATTGAGCTACACTATTTT